GAGAAGAAAAAGTTCTCCTCCAGGTTTAGAAAATGAACCACAGACAATCACAACTGTAGCATCAAAAAGGAAACTGGCTGACAGATCAGCAGCTCAGAGATCAGTGACTTAGACAATGCTGCCACCCACTGAGCAAAAACAGAAGTACTACTGGTCTTTTCACCAAATTTAGAGCAACTTAATGGAACATTTCATATGGATTTGGCTTAGGTAGTCACTGAATTGTTATTATCATTATTACTGATGCCTCAACAGTAAGTTTTTTTACATTCATAACACAATCACAACTAAAGCCTCTGAGCAGGATGTGTGGCCGAACCTGAAAAGGTAGAGTGGGAACGTAGAGTGTGAATGTAAAGCAGTAAGTACTCTAGTAGTTTTCCTGAATTCTGGGAATGTAGAGTAGGAAATCAGTCCAAATCCTGAAAGAGGGAAATACAGGAAGGAAAGGCTGAGAAAAGCACCCTGATTAGAAAAACAAATGGAGTAAGAGGAAGATAACAGCACCAGGAGACTGCCCACCTCACACACTGACTCAACGAGGTACATTCACATAAGGAATCTAATTTAATCCCCACTAAAACCCTGCAAGACTAGCATTTTTGTCTCCATTATTGGGTCCCTATTATTAGAGTGTAGCCAAAACGGCTACAGATTTGCATAAGCTCACAGTTCAGACCCAGTGGGACTGGTTTGAACTAAGGTCTACCTGTCCCGTCACCAAAGTCCATTCTCATCCTAACAGACAAAAACCACCGATTCTCAGTTTTCAAATTTTTTAAGGCAGATATTGAGTACATAAGATTGTTCTGATTACAACGATCTCCTGCTAGGGTGTTAAATAAAGGAAATCAAACCTTTAGGGGATGCTTACATAGGGAGATTTGGTGCCACGGATTCTCTTTATTCAATAGGGGCTCTTTTTTTCCTTTCTCTTTCCTGTCCCATTTTCCTCTCTTCTCTAAAAAATCCTCTGCCTAAATAGAGATACAGTAAAGTAACAGTTCAACAGCCACTCTCTACATGTGGCCATTGGCACTTGAAATTAGGCTAGTCCAAACTGATATGCACTGCACATGTAAAATTCACACTAGTTTATGAGACTTCATATAAAAATAATTTTTAAATCTCATTAATGATTTTTATATTGATTACACAGTGACATGGTACTATTTTGGCTATATCCAGTTAAATAACGTATGTTGTTAAAATTTCAGGATATCTGTTTTTATTTTTTAATGGGGCTACTAGAGAATTTTAAATTACATATCTGGATGGCACTGTATATCAACTGGAGAGCACTGGTTTAAAGACATGTAAACATGCTTGTGTCAAGAAAGGCATTTCATACATTAATTAGTACAAGATCACAGGCACGAAACCAAAATCTATTTCCTGCTCAGTTGATAGGCAGAAAACTGCCATATGAGGTTCAATTAAGACAACTATAATTATTAACTGGGAGCGTCACATCATGAGCAAACTAATGAAGCCTGACTTTCTCTGGTTGTATGTCTTATGAGTGATTGATTTGTTCCCTAATTATCCCAAAGTTTTTTATCCTGCAGATCACATTAATAATAATAATAATGTGATTTATATACTAGAAGAATATCTCCCATCAGGCTCAACAATAACTTCACATTTCTTATATTAGAGAAAGTGGAGCTATTACTGTTCCCCTCAGAAGCGTGTTTCTAAGAGACTGTGGAATTTTCTTACCCCCACCTAGTTCAATGTCTTTAATGCAGATGGAAATGTTATTGTGAGCTAAAGGCTGGTCACATCCTAGGATTAAACCAATTCACCTTGAAGGCTTATTTTCAGGCTAACCAGGGCTTCTTACAGGTTTTTCTTATCAAAAACAACCCTGGAAAAACGGACTTGAGAAATCTACAGGTCAATGGACTCCCAAAGACAAGACACAGTCAAAGTTCCTAGCCAGGAATTAAAAGGTCGGGCTTACTCCCTATGTTGACAAACAATTGGTCCAAACCATATGGAGATGCTCCTTCAACAGAGCCCTCCCCACAATGGTACTTGAGACTAGACCTCATGCACAAGGTTCTTGGGCAGGCAGAGGGCATTCTGGGATGGCAGAAGACATTCTGCCTGTCCAAGAATTTCAAAGAGCTTCCATTTGCCCTTTGGAGTCAGGCTCTACGGCCCTCACGATGCTGAGTTTCCAGACAGGAGGAGGATGGACTAATTAATTTCTCAAGTTCACCTTCAAAACCAGACTCTGATCCCACACTTTCAGAATAAGGGAACATACCCAACAAGTTAAATAACCCTGGTCTGAGGATTCCTAGGAACCCATTTGAACAGTGCACAATGCAAACACAACAGATATCTTCTGCCAGCTCTTTTCCATTTTCTCTGCTATGTGTGATATTTTCCATGGATGAGACCAGAGATGTTTGGTTGTAATGACTGTCAGATGTTTAAACAATTTTGTTGCTGAAACATGATAATTTCCAGAAGCCCCTTTTCTGTACACGGTTTCTTTTGCTAAGACCCACCACAAAGAAAATGAGTTGTACAAGAAGAATGGCAGAAGATCTGGAAATTAACCAGGAAAATGGACCATAACATGCTTCAAACAAAACAAAAAAATTATTAATAGGAAACAGGCCAGTTTCTAAGGGTCATGGAAAGAATACACATTGGGTTTCCAGCATCTGGCTATGTTTCAAAGTCAGTAACCTCCAACTTGTCAGGGAGGATTGTGGTTAATGCTGTGAAAGACATGTGCTGAAAGATTTCTAGTTGCCCTTAAATTCCTGAATTTCTAGTCAGGATATCATACCACACATGTGCAAAACAGAAAAGTCTGGTAAAGTCTAAGTGGGTCCTGCTGTAAGTATATAAAATCTTAACTTATAAAATCAATACATTAGGTAATCACTTATAACAAAAAAGGATTAACTTGAAAATATTTTTAAATAAAATTTTCCCTCTTCATATAGTAGGTTGAATTGTATGAAACTGCAAATATTTGACTCTTTTTGACCCAAAACCCCCCAAATTCTGGCGATTCAAGCTATACATTTCATTAACAACATCGGTACTAAAAATTTAAAGAATATTAGGAATCCCTACAAATTGCAAGGTTGCAGAAATAAAAAATTTTTTAAATTCTCAAATTACAAAGATTTTGTTCAATGTTTTCCATTTTTATCTATATATTTTTTTCAGGGATGTATCTAAAGCCTTGTTTAATCTGAATACCACAATATCTAATCAGTGATGACTAAGAAGAATTCTTTTTTTTTTTTTTTTTTTTTTTTGAGACAGGGGCTCACTCTATAGTCCAGGCTGGAGTGCAGTGGTGAGCACAATTTTGGCTCACTGCAACCTCCACCTCCCAGGGTCAAGTGATTCATGTCTCAGCCTCCCTGGTAGCTGGGATAACAGGCGTGTGCCACCAAGTCCAGCTAATTTTTGTATTTTTTGGTAGCTATGGGGCTTCATCTGGACTAAGAATTTCGGTAATAAATTTGGCAATGCTTAAAATAATAGGAATACACTCCATATTTATATGTTTTTTATATTCTAAAGTAGCTTTAAATGAAATGACTCTATTAAGCCATTTCCTCAAATCATTTGTGTGAAAATGAGAGAGACAGAAAAGGGAGAGAGAGAAGGAAAGAAGGAAAGATGGACTAATTTTAACTATCAGAATTTAGACATCCTAATGAGGATTGCTTTTCAAAGACACCCCTTGGAAGCTACATATCTAATTCCAGGTGACACTACCACACTGATCAGAATGTTCATGGAAATCCTCTTTGGAATCACTTTTCAAGCTACATAAGAAAACCCGTACATTCCTTAATAGTCATATTTTTTCTTTTTCTTTTTAAATTCCAAAATGGGGTGCCCACCTAGCTCAGTTAGTAGAACAGGAGACTCTTAATCTCAGGGTGGTGGGTTCAAGCCCCACATTGGGTGCTGTTTCCCAGCACTCTGGGACGCCAAGATGAGCAGATCACTTGAGCTCAGGAATTTGAGACCAGCCTGGCCAACATGGCAGAACCCTGTCTCTACAAAAAAAAAAAAAAAAATTATTCAGGTGTGGTAGCGCATGTCTGTAGTTCCAGTTACTTGGGAGGATGAGGTGGGAGGACCACTTGAACCCAGGAGGTGGAGGCTGCAATGAGCCCAGAGTGCCACTGCACTCAAGCCTGGGTGACAGAGTGAGACCCTGTCTCAAAAAAAATAAGGAAAAAAAATAAGGAAAAAAAACCCAGCCTTTTGATCTACTTAGTTCCAAATGCTTTTTGACTATTTGCTAAAATATATACATACATGCATACATCAAAACAAAAACGACTCAGGAAAGGGAAATATTTTTACACTGAGGATATCCAAGAATGCTGGGTACATTATTCCACTTTCCCTTTTTGTCTGCTTATTACCCACCTCCTCCATCAGTGCCCTCCACCTTCTGACAGAAAACCAGGTCTTTTCTCTTTAAACCAAGGGGATTCAAAATGATATGGGGGGAATGTCCCTTACAGTGGCCAGCCGCAATCCCACGAGGACTTCAGCATATTCCTTTACTCCTTCTGCGTCTTTTAACATATCTGAAAATAAAAAGTAGGTAAACTGTACCTACTTTTCAGAATGTGGCAGGGATTCGAGGTGTTATCTCTCTATGTAGAAGGAAACACCTTAGGCTCCCAAGTAACAAAATGTAAATGTCTAGCAAGTATTAAAAAAAAACACACACACACAGTAGGAAAGGTATTTTTCTCATATAAAAGGCCAAAAGTAAGGAAGTGACAGAAAGGCTGAATGCCGACCTTTTCAGAGTTTACGTATTTTAAACAATTACACTGAAATTACACTGACCCATAAAATAAAAGTATTTCTTGTGCCCCTGTCAAAAGCAAGTGGGTTTTTACTTCAAGGGTGAATAATAATAATGCTTTGGGGATGACGAATAAAAGAGCTTCCCCTGACTGGCCGAGGTGAAGCCATCGGGGCTATCCCACCTCTCCTCGTCGATCTGGAAGGCTTCCTGAAGGAACTGGGGTTTGTGTCCCTGGCACTCCGGGGACCTGCTTCGGGCTCAGCGCGCTGCCTGGGGGCCTCCGCGCTCGCTCTGGCAACAGGCCGCCCCGAGTCGCGGCCAAAGTCCCTGCTATGCAGACCTAGGCGACCGCACTTACCAAGCGCGAGGAGTCGGCCCAATGAGCTCCGCCCTCTCCAGCGCGCTTTCCGTGATCCACCAATCAGGTGCTGCTACAAAAGCCCGAGCTGAGTGGTCAGCTTCCCTGGGAGGGCGGGGTTTAGGGAAACAGAAACTGGACGGAAAAGGGGGCTGTTTTTCCCCTTGCCTGTGACATGGATGTTAGTGACTAAAGATCAAAATTCCAGTTAAAGGAGGAGCCGAGACTTGTAAGCCGACTGTTACTATGGGGCCAAGAGAGAGGTTTCAGAGGAATCCCAGTAAGTGAGAGTGCTGGGATGTGGGAGGGGCCCACGGAGTCCCCCTGCGTGTCTGAGATCACACCCTGCTGGGTACCCTGCCGGAGTGTGCTGGAGGAGGTGACTGGATCAAGACTCCAGAGTTTGCTCCTGAGATGGAAAAACAAAACAACCCAATAATAATACTAATAATGACAGCCCTGGGAGGGGACGGTTGCAACAGGTCTTATGAGAAAGTAACTGTGGAGGTTCAGGGAAGGTGTGGGCATGTTGGTGAAGTAAGGTTGTGAGTGGAAGACGAAAATGCCGCTTCTGGGGAAGAGAATACCGTCAGAAGGAAGGAAAGGAAGGAGGGAGTGCGAGGGGAGGGGAGATCAAGGGAGAGGAGGAAAGGAGAGAAAAGAAGGGAGAGGCGGATAGGGGAAGAGGGAAGGGAATACTTGAGGTGATTGGTATTCTGCCAATCCCATTCTGCATGCTAGTGAGACCTAGCAGGGACTAGAGTTTCAGGAAGTAAATATGAGCATAATGAAGGATAACAGAGAGGAAAGAAAAAGGAAATAATTGAAAAGTTTGAAAGAAGAAAAGCAGCAGCTGAACCAGTCTGGGGGGTGCGGGGGATAGAAGGAAATTAAAATTATCTAAGCTTCTGTTTCATGGATAGAAGGACGATATTTTCTGGCCCATTATCAGGATACAAGTTGAAAAAAAAAGCTATTGAACTTGTGGGGAAAGTGGCTGGTTTAAATTAGCCCTGCCCCTGAAAATCTAAGCTGTGTTTGTGGGTCTTATGGTTGAGTTAACTCATAGGCCCAGGAGAGGAAGGATGAAAGGATGCCTGGATGACCCGCAAAGAATTTGCATCAGGTCAACACGCAGAGCATGTATGCTACTTTCTTCAGAAACCTTCAGGAGTCATAGACTACGGTCAGTTCTTTGTCGGAATTACTTTAGATTTACTACAGTTGTTTTCTCAGCAAATGCACATAAAGCATGGAATTGTTCTTAGCTGTGCAGACCTTGTCTATTTTCTGAAAGGAATAACAATACTAACTTTTAACGCCCTACATACATGACATCTTTGTACTTTTCAAATCACCGTGTTACCCCCTTCCCTTCTCCTCTGACAGTGCCTGGCTGAATCTCTCCTATTCTCACAATGGCTTTGCCTCCATTCCACTGAGGTCTTCCCATTGCTCACATCATTATACTGTTTTTTTACTTCACTTCCATGCTTGTTTCTTACTATACAAAGGGTACTGTAATTCTGAGTTCCCCATATATAGAGTCACTTTTCCACGAACTTTATTAATAAAAGGAAGGGTCTTCGTTTTCCAGTATGGAGCTATACTGATGTTACATTGTGCTTTGATGATCTGGGCTCTGACTTATAAAACCAGTGTCACTATAATTTTCACGTCTTTGAGTCACTGTGCCAGTGAGTTCTCCATAGGTCCCGTGGAGTTTTTCTTGTTTCGTTTTTTAATCTTAGCTGGAATTTATCTTCATTAGGAGTCCAGTGTCTTGTTCTCCATAGAGCTCTGAAATGGTATAGCAGAGAGAAGGGTACTAAAAACAGCAGACTGATTCTCTTTAATTTTCTTTTTTTTTTTTGAGACAGAGTTTCGCTCTTGTTACCCAGGCTGGAGTGCAATGGCGCAATCTCGGCTCACCGCAACCTCCGCCTCCTGGGTTCAGGCAATTCTCCTGCCTCAGCCTCCTGAGTAGCTGGGATTACAGGCACGCACCACCATGCCCAGCTAATTTTTTGTATTTTTAGTAGAGACGGGGTTTCACCATGTTGACCAGGATGGTCTCGATCTCTTGACCTCGTGATCCACCCGCCTCGGCCTCCCAAAGTGCTGGGATTACAGGCGTGAGCCACCGCACCCGGCCTCTCTTTAATTTTCTAACAACTCAAATAGTTTTTTGGCTTCTACTGTTTCCTGGCTCTTCCTTTCCTCTTTTCATATAGCTGGTCTACCTTACTGATGTTTCAAGTCACTCTGTCTGCTAGAGTTCAGAGGAATTGTATTTTAGGCTTTCAAGCCATTTAAGGGGGCAAGAAAGATTATGAACGTCTGGACCTCAGATCCACTGGCCTTAAGAGCTCAGTATCACTCACCACAATGTGGGCAGGTTGGTGTATGTTGTTCTCTGATGTTATCTTGTATCCATCTGAATGGCTCTCTGTGCACTAAGCCTTGGGAAGGAAAGACATTTGAGGGTTCACCTTCCCTAACTCCTACTCTTCCATCATTTTTTTAATATCACAGTATCTTGGACATTCCCATTCATTGCCAAACTAGTATAGACTGAGTGTTTGGAAAAGAGGCAGTGGGAGGAGAACAAAGATGAGTGGAAAAAGCTGAAGTGAAAGCCTTTTCTCAAAAGTTCCTAGTCAGGAGAAATGGCACTATAGGGCAGACAACTCTAGAAATAGTAGGATACACAGAGGAAGGGCCAGAGTTCACAGACATATTTGAACTTGACATTGTAAATAGAACATGGGTATGAGGAAGACAGAAGACTCTTGTGGTTGCTGGCACAAACTCCTGGGTTCTGACTTCGGCTGTGGTAATTACTGTGTGGGTGACCCTAGACAAGTTGCTCAACCTCAGCTTCCTTGTCTGTAAAAGAGGGATAATAATGGCACCAACTTCATAGGGTTGTTGTGAGAATTGAATAGGTTGATGATATAAAGTGCTTAGAATAGGACCTGGCATTTGGAAGTGCTAAATAGGTATTAACTATTATTATTCTAGGGCCAAAATCCCAAACGCACAGCAGCTTGCCCCAACGGGAGTTTCTCTGACAATCATTCTTTGAGCAAGGACAGTGGGGCATTCTTTCTCATAGTTACTTCTTCCTTTCTTGCTATAGGCTCTACTTGGTGTCCAGGACATTAATTAAGCAAACAAGCTTTTGCTTCAATTCAGTAAAAGCATCAGAATCCATTTTCATGTCTACTTTAATACAAGGGTCAATATGAATTGTCATCCATTGATAACGGAAATTCTCAACAATAGTTTCTCTATGATCGTGTTAGCAGCACAGTGGAGAAATATATGAAAACTTTCTCTGCCTTCCACCTCTTTCTCTCGTAACTCTCAGTATTCCACAATCAATTCCTTCCACATTACCAAGGAGAGTTCAAAGAAATCAGTGTCTTGAGATCTACAATTGAAATTAAGCGCTGCTAGGGGAACAACTCAAGTGACTTTGACTTCCCAAGATATAGGAGTAATTAGAAATATAAAAGGGAATAAGGGAAGGTGGAGCATTTGATGAGAAGTGATTAGGTGGCCACAAGGTGGCACAGGATGACAACCACAGAGCACTCCCTTCCAGTGACTCCATTTTTCTTCAGGGCTCTGTCTCTGCTGCCCTACACTCTTACAACTTAGTGCCCTCAAAAGCTGTCTTTGCAAACACCCTCACCCCTTTCCTCTCCCACGTGGTGGTCCTCTTTCCCTAGTCCCTCTTCTCTTTCAACAGGTCTCAATTCTCATTGTTTCAGCATGGATTTCCCCTTTCTCCCACATGACCCTGCTGACTGGTCCTGTACTCAGCACTTCCTCCTTCAGAAAAGTGAGCTCCTCCACTGCATCTCCAAGTCACACATTCAGCGGAATCTAAGCAGAATGTAGCAGAGTCCACTGGTTTGGCCATTTCACCAGTCAAGTTGGGGTCCAACAGGGCTGAGTAATAGAAGGCTGTTGATTGACTTTATGTAACCTTCAAGAGTTTCCTGAGTAGTGTCAGTTTGAGTTTTTTAGATGGTATGATTTCTATAGAGGAAATAGATTACAGCATTAAAACAGAAGGCAGTGCCTGGCTGGATGTTAGTTATGGAGTTATTACCGAAAGACAAGTGGCCTAAAAGTCATAGACCAGCCTAGATGTTAATCCCACTGCTAGCACATAGCTTGTGTCCTTAGGCCAGTTACTGAATTCTACGAGTGACATCTTTTTGTCCATAAAATGAGGGTAATACCCATCTTGAGGATTTGTAACATGTAAAATATCTACTTCAATAAATGTTAGTTTCCCTTTTTTCCCTCATACACAAAATGAAGGGGACTGGGCCAGGTGTTGTGGCCCACACCCATAATTCCAGCACCTTGGGAGGCTGAGGCTGGAGGATGGATTGAGCCCAGGAGTTGGGGATCAGCCTGGGCAACAAAGTGAGACCCAATCTCTAAAAATAAATAAATAAATAAAAATCAGCATAAGAACATAAGAAAAAGGCCCCTAAGATTAGGGAAGAAAGCTTCAAAGATATGGTCAGTTATACCATTTTTAAAGGATAGGAAAGAGGAATTGTTGGGAGAAGATTGGCGTGGGAGAAGAGGATTGAAGCAGAGGGGACAGCATGTACAAAGGTACAAAAATGTGAAACAGAATAACCTGCTGGAAGAACTACATCCTACTGACTAGAATATAGTGTCTATGTGGGCCTGTGGCACAAGGAGAGACAGAAACCCAAAACTGGTTGGAAAATACAATCTGGGAGGCAGCTGCGGGGTGTAGAAGAACTTCGGGTAATTCTCTAGTATCAACAGCATGCCCAGGTAGAGTGGTTTCAGCAGTCAGAGAGTGCCCTCAGGCAAAGAATGGCAGCGGCTGACAGCTGGAAATTGTAATCCATGGAAATGGTTGTAGCTGAGATGTGGGTGGGTGTCCCTAGCATCTCCTAGATCAACCATACATTTATGTGAGCCATTTGGCTTTCTCTAGTAGGTCTTGATTTAAGGCCCTGACCTCTGCCCACCACCATCAGTTGCCATGACCTCTTGGCAAGACTCCAAACCCCTCCCTACCTTCGCTCTTTAGATAAGTTGTTTAAAGATGCTGTGCTTCCTCCAGAATTTCATTGATTTCCATGTTCCATTCTGCCTCTTCAGCCTCTGCCAAC